GAAAGTAGGGACGTACACATTATACGCAAATAAAAACTCTAAGGATGAACGAAAACCATTATCTTCGCACTCTCTATTGCTTCCTTGAGCCCGAAAAACTTCTCAACAATTCCTAGAGCAAACTCCATGGAAGTTCCTGCTCCTTTGCCGGTGATGAGGTTGCCATCAATCACTACCCTTTTCTCGATTTCACTTCTATCTGACAGCTTGTCGGACACTGGGGGGAACGCTGTGGCCTTTTTGCCCTGGATTGAAAGGAAAATAAAATAAGTTCTTGTGATGAGTTTGTACAATGCAAGAAGCATAATGATTAGTTCTCATAACATTTTATAGGGGATACCTTGAGTAAGCCATGGGGTTCCAAAACTAGAGCTGGGGATGCACATATCGCTCCATAAGGTCTCTGTGAATCCCTCTGCTTTTTTAACATATTCACGAGCTTTTCTGATTTTGCAAATGTTGGGGCACTATCAAGTCCACCCTGAAAGAAAAAAAACAAAGAATACGGTTAGGCTGATCAATTGGTAAATAGTAATGGCTAAACAGCAGCGAGCTGGATTGAAACCCGACTTACAGGCAAAACAATTAGGTCATATGAAAGTTTGGCAGCTTCGTCAAGGAGCACATCTGCCTCCAGTTTAACTTTGCAAGAAGCAACAATTTCTAGTTGATCCTCTACAGAGGCCACCACAACATTTGCTTTCGCTCGTCGTAGAATATCAATGATCATAACAGCTTCCATTTCCTCTGTGCCATTTGCAATAGGTACAAGAATCTAAAGGATAACACACACGAAAGAGTTTATACACTACATTATATAGCACCTTAAGTCAAGTCAATAATTCTTACTGTCATGTCACAAATTATCGTTGCTTATTTGCAAAATTTTTACTACCACTCTCAATTCATAAGTAACTTGTGGAAACCTGAAATAATCTTAGGCAAATTTGCCTATGAAAATCAAATGTTCACCTTTGGGGAATCATTGGGAGTCCACTCAACTGGGTTTAGTTCAGTTATGATGTATTCATTCCTGTGGTTGGAACGCATGACCTGAGTATAAAAAATACAGTTACACACGCATCACAAGCCTTGAATCAAAGGTAACAGGTGAAAGCGAGATCATAGCAGATCATATTTATTTTCATTTTCCCAGACAACGACTAGCTTTGAAATCAATTGAAAAGAAATCCACCAGTAGAATATGAAAACCAGCCAAAAAGAAGGATATTGAGAAAGTATATACCAGGAACTCAGATAGTTCATCAGCTTTTTCTTTCCCATACAATTGCTCAACCAGCGCAACAGCAAACTCCATGGCAGTACCCGGTCCACGACTAGTCACAGCTTTGCCATCCACCTGAACTCTTGATTCAACAGCGATTGCGCTAGATGCTAATTGCTCCATAAATAATGGATGGCCAGTTGCCTGTCAAAAACCAATGCAATTTATAATTTTACTATGCATACATAACAAATAATGAAATATTGGCAGGTGCGTGCTAAGAGATCTTACTTTCAGT